CATGCTCTACGTGATCAGTCTCGCTCGTACTGTATATCACTAGATCATCTCCATGAACGTCAACGTTCCTCAAATTCTTAAGCAGCAACGTCATTAATCGTCTTAAATTTAAACGAGGCACCTGCCAAACCAAAAGGCATGCGTTTAAACCGATACTGCTTTTGTCCCACAAACAACGCAGTCTTATCTCTATATCCTCGTTCCATTGGCAGTTGCCAGTACCCCGATCGCAGATCTAAGACTGAGAACAGCTTCGCACTTTGTAAGTGATCTAAAGTTTCTGCTATTGTCGGCATCGCACGCGGTCTCAGCTCTGTTATACTGTTCAATTGTCGGAAATCAACACAAAATCTGTATTTCCCGTTGCTTTTCTTCACCAATAGCACTGGAGAACTACATGGACTATCGGCTTATTCAATAGTGTCATCATTCAACATCTCTTCAACCTGTCTTGCAACCTCGCTTTCTTAATGACACGGGACTCTTCGAGTAACGAATGGTCTCACTTCCCCGCTTGTCACTGGAATTTCCTGCTTCACTATATCACAGTAGCCGTACGGATCTCCCTCTCCAGTGAAAAGTTGGTCGTATTTGCTAAGTAACTTTGCGACATTTAGGAATTTCGACGCCACAATCCCTGCTACCTCACTATTCTCGTGCATGCTGAAACAACCATACTTTGTAACGACAACCCTTTTCTTCATGTTAATCACTTCATCCACTTATTGCAAAAAGTCTGCCCCAAGGATTGTTCGGCGCAATTCAGCTACGACCAGGAATGGGAACGTCACGCTATCCTCTCCAATACTAACCCTGCAGTCTGACACTCCCGCGATTCTTAACCCCTTCCCCTCCCCCCACTGTCTGCACTGTCAATGAACACAGTCTTATATTCTCACATAGGCTCCTTTTTTTCCCAGTGTCCGAGTGCTAAGAGTCCGAGGTGGATAGAGAGAGAGCAGATGACCAATCTACTGCGATCACCCAGACATCAGCAGCCTAGAACTGATCTGTAATTCTAAGTAAGACGAATGTATCCTCCACATAACTGGCTATTATTATTATTTTTATGATTATCATTATCATTTAATGCTACATATCAAACTTTGTGATTGTTAGGAGGAGAAGAGGAGAATTCATTGTAAAGAATGTTCTTCCGTCAGACTGACACACTTCTAATTCATCACGTGGGAATATTTCATACACTCTGAAATCTCAGACATAGTAGATTCATCCGAGCTGACTGAAATAATCAGCGGAAGCCTGTAGAAGGTGTCACATGAGTTGTTATTCATAGTGGGAGAGACGGCACTGCATTGCTTAACATCACATTACCTTTCATGAATCCGGAACATCGAGTAGCAAATCACTTTATACGAATTCGTCCGTTATCATTCTCTCCACTTGATCATGTGACTCACATCACCTTGTCTTCCTTGTTCCATGTTCCCGTTCATTTCACTTTACTGCATCACTCTCGAATAAAACTACATTTCGGTTTCATTCACGAGAATTTACTCAATCACTCAATCACTCACTCACTCCCTCAGTCAGTCAGTCTGCCAGTCAATCATTGAATCAACTGCCTGATTTCGACATTCAACCCGACAAATTCTCAATCACTGACGAATGTTCAACTAAATCTTCGAATAAAATTCTACTCTATTTTTATCGTAATCGATCTACTCATATTTACTCAACTCAACTCAACTTCATCTCCACTCTTCGTTATATATTCCCGCTCACCCCGCCCGACTCAAATTTCCAAATCCTGATTTCCTCCAATAAATGCATAGAGAAAAGACAACGTCACGACATGTGAGATGATGAGGCAGCGAATGATGAACACGAAAATCTAACATTCAGCCTGTAATACTCGGTAAGTGAAAGGCTTCATTCGTTGCGAACCCGATTCAAAGTGAACTGTTCACAGAACTTCCATGCCACCAATGTGTGATTTGATCGAGAAAAGGGACAATCAACTATCTAGGAAAGATACTATAAATAGTAACAGTGTAAAATTATCCCGAAATAAATCCGAAACGATAATCCAAACTATAGATTTAACCACACGTAGAGGGACGTGTAAAGTCCGAAATACCGGATATTCTGCAATACGGTATTTTATTACATAAAATTAGATAGATAATATACAAACCTCAAAATGTGAGGTGTCTGTGGCTAAATGCCGTCAAATGCACAACCACTGTGCAGTCAATAAGTAAAAACAGCAATGCTGTGTCAAGGTCGATCCACGTGTCGGTTCAAACGGCCCGCGAATGCCAAGCAAAGAATAAACAAATATGAACAAACAACTTCCAATAGGAAAGCATACACTGTAGGGCAAGGTCAGCAAATAATGTTTCAGGAGAAGAAAAATAACAACTATATATTAATAGAATGATAATAGAACAAGTAATTTAACTGCAGTTGTCGGCAAATGTCATTGATATAAATTAACATATTAAATCATACTACTTACTAATGGCAAGTAGTATAATGTTGAACAAAGGAAAGATTGAGAATGAACAGGTAGGAAAGGAATTAACACCGTCCCCTCAAAACCAGCCTGGTTTTCCCTACTCTACCTGCTAGTAAGACACAGAAATGGTACAATTTACTCTCGCCACATCTGCATCCACTATCCAGCTATATATCCTACAAAGTGCTCATCTCTCCTCAATACATCAATATCTAATAGGCAAACCTTACGCACATCTCGGTTGACTATACCCCTCGGTGTCTTGATATCCACTTTTCTGATATACCCAGCCATCACAGCTTCCCGTAACACCTGTAATTATTCCCATTGACCAACGATTGCGAGGTGAAGGCTCCGCAGTCACTAGTACTAGGTCTCCCACTTGTAAGTTTCGATGTCGTTGAACCCACTACTTTGCCCGCGATTGTAAGGTCGTCAAGTACTCCCGCTTCCACCGTCTCCAAAACGTATCGGCAAGGAGTTGCCCTTCTTTCCATCGTCGTGAGTAACGTCCACATAAACTAGCGTCGATTTCAGGAACCTGTTCAGGATTTCTTGATAAGAGAATATGATTTGGTGTCAGCACATCCAACTGACTTCAGTCATCATAAACAGGTACCAGCGACCTGCTATTTAGTATCATTTCTACTTCTGTCAAATAGGTCATGAGTGATTCATCTGTGAGGACTTGCTCCTTCGAGACTGCGCTTAACACTCGACGTACGCTTCCGATCAACCTCTCCCATACTCCGCCACGGTGGCTAGCATAAGGTGGATTTAACTTCCATTCTATACCACGATTTGTCATAGCTCTTATCATACAATCACTGTCTAATTGTGGCACAACTTGCTGTGCTGTAACTCACGATCAGCCCCCACAAAGTTTGTACCCCGGTCACTGTATATCTCCCTTGGAGTCCCCCTGCGGTTGGTAAAGCCTGAAAGCATCATTAGGAATGAATCGATAGAAAGAGCGTAAGCTACTTCTAAGTGAACCGCTCGAGTTTTCAAACAAGTGAATATGCATCCATATCTTTTGTCTGTAGTCCGCCCCCGCCTAACGATAAAGGGGCCGAAGTAATCTACCCCGGTGCTAGAGAATGGAAAATCTGACGTGACCCTTGCTATGGGTAATTCTGCCATCACTTGTTCAGTAGGTTTTGCAGACCTGATTCGGCAACCGATGCATTTATTCACCACACGCTTAACTACTGCCGCTCCTTTCAATATCCATTATTTCAAAAGTGAACTATCAACAGAAATTCCATACCACCAATGTGTGATTTGATCGAGAAACCGGACAATCTACTATCTAGGGAAGATACTGTATATAGCAATAGACTGTTGCCGTTTTTCAGCTCAACACACTTGGGGAGTCGAAGCAACAATAGACTAGTCCAGATGTGTCAGCCAACCCTATACTTCTTATCTACACCTCTCTGTCTATCTCTTTCTCGCGCGCGCTCTCGCTCACTCTGTGTACTTCACAAGAAACAAAGATGGATACTGTTGAGAGAGAGAGAGAGACTGATTGTAACGTAGGTGCACAAATGTCTGCAACAGTGTATTCCTTTATTCCTTCAACGACGGTCACGATCACGATCACGATGATGGTGATGATTGTTTCCTGTAAATGTAGGAGTATAATCTCAATAGTCTATGCATGATAAGTATAGATGAGTATAGATGTGTATGCCCACTGACTATATCACAACTCACTTAGTGGGAGGAAAATGTCACCATGACAACATCAGCAGCACATATATCCTCCTCATACATACACTTCAATTAGAAGAAATTGCAACGAAAACAGTCAACAACACTCATCACTCAGACTTTTCCGCCTGTCTGCCTGCCTGCCTGTCACACACTCTCTCTCTCTCTGTCTATCTGTATCTGTCTCTGTCTGTCTCTCCCTGTCTCTGACTAACTGACTTTCCAACCCACCTCCACTCTGACTCTGAGTACATTGTGCCAACAATCTTCCTTCCACACACACACACACACGGTAAGGCAACTCTCATAAGCGAACCAATTAGTCAGTCAGTGATGAGTACAAATATTAAATGAGATTCACTGTGTCCATCTACCTTGTCACTGGAGCTATTAACTGTTTATAATGCACTGCACTCACCTATTGGCTGGAGATATTCCGACCTGACCACACCACGTCTCTTGATCAAATTACACATACAGAAAAAACCTCCATGTCCTTTCACCAGTCAGTCAGTCAGTCAGATTTAGTCTCTGATTGAAACTGCCACTACCATAGAACAGCAAGTTGCTAGTGTAGTCCATATCACAACCTATTTCTTCTAACAGTCTCGTCTTCTTCTCACTAATCACTCATGTACTCTCCACTGAAACAAACAAACAAACAAACAAACGGACAAAGAGACAAACAAACGAACCAAGAAAGAGACAAACAGACAGTCATGGCAAACTAATTCATAGTTTCCCCTATTCCCTTGCACATATTTCATAGAGGAGAGCTGTGGTAATCGTGTTGTGAACATTCGTGCAGCATCAGGAGACCTCGTGAGACAAGTATGCAATAGAGACACAATCATGTAATCAAATGAATCACGAAAAAGACATTTTCATCCTCCCGAGAAATAACTACTCACTTGTGAGAGGAGGATTCTCTCCTCTTTATTCTCCTAACATGGCATATACTTCATGTGCCTCAATTCTATTCTATTTGTATAATCTCCACCCACCCGTTTGAGAAAAGTAAACAAAACAAGTCATTCTTATATCCAAAAGTGTTGTTCTTGTGGTTCTTCTTCTTGTTGAGATGTTTCGACAGTCAGAAAAAATACATTCAAGATTTACAAAAGGCATTTGCAAGCAAATCTTATTCCTGGCAATAGTTACAGTAATAAGAACATTATTGACAATATCTGGAGTACAAAAAAATAGTGTTCAGATCATATCACATCACATCACACAACTTGACACAACACAACACAACACAACACGACACGACACTAAACCAAACACATCATCATCATCATCATCATCATTATAATCATCATCATGAGATCATGAATGGGTTAGTCAAGCGGTGATGGTGGTGATCGGACAACTCTGGTCAGTCAGTTATCATCAGTGAGTAGAGGCAAAATCAAATACACAAAAATGTCCGCAAAATCTGCGCAAACTGAGTTCACCCTACTAACACAAAGAAAAATAGAGAAACAAATTAACAAAAAATAAGAACAGAAATGCAACAGAAACTAACTGTTTATAAAAATATTAGTAGTAATAATAATGAGTTGTTATTATTATTATTATTATTATTACTAATATAGCAGTGATAGGGTTAGTCATTTTCAGACAGTGTGATATGAGTTTGATCGCTTTTTGTGTAATTTAAGATTCAACTCGCTTGCCAATAGGATATCACAGGAAGTCACTTGTCGCTCTACTGGATCATATTTTCCAGCAATGAAGTAATTGATCGAGGATAAGAATGTATAAGAGAAACAAAACCAATTAATCTCAAAATACTATAGAAAACAATTTTCAGGTAGATTTTGTCAGAAACGTGCATCAATTAAAGGGTCGTTGAAAATGAGAAAACACCGGACACCAAATACAACTTAGTTAGATCACAGGACCGGCCACAATGGATGGACAAACAACAAAGAACTCTGCAGAAGAACCATTCAAGAAGCTATTAACCTGACGGGGCGGATCAGGCGCACTCTGCACACATTTGAGAAAGGCATATGAGCCATCCAGATACGCGGGTTCAACCAATATAAGAGACGAAGAGTTATGCGTAGGACCGAGGCTGACATGGAGAAGACCGTGTTATGAGGAGATGAAGGCTTACGAGCCAGATATTGGGGACCGCAGAAAACAGGATGAAATCGAGATGTGCTGTCAATGCCCCATGTCCCCCTCAGAATCCAACACGAATAATAATAATATAATGTGGTTTCTCCAACTGAATCTGCCTGCTTTGTTCTTGATAACCGATTCATGGTTGTTTTCACGTTTCATTTTTTTCTTTATTCCACTTGTAGCTACTACCAGCATCATCAGTTAAGATCACAAGGCTGCAGTAGTTATTAAGTCAGTTAATCAGTTACATAGACACAAGAGTCAGTTTAAGCCACGTAGGAAGGTGTAGACTTCCTGGTTGCGGTCCTCGGGACGGTAGAAACCAATGGCTGAACACACTTGGTGATATGGCTGAAAACTGTTCTCAATGGCTGGCGCAGATGCATCCACTCCTTGTGATTTAGAATTTACAATAAAACTATGTTAGTCTTTGACATTAGTATTCGTTTTGCCCCACATCTCTCATTACTGTCTCTATTTTGCGTTTCTTTTCACTTTATTCTCTGGCTGAGTGAGGTGTGGCGACTCGAACTGCTGCTGCTGTACATCGGTGCAAACTTCTATGTTGAATGCAGTCCACATAGACATAGACAGAGTAGAAAGTCTACTAGTCACATCAACAACACTCACATTTTCATCTACATGTGAAAAAATATTAACACTAAGTGAACAGAAAAACAGCAGCAGTCTGTGGTGTTACACCTACCTCTTATTAAAATTAGAATGATGATAAGATCTTTACTGAAAAGACTATCATCTCGATGCGCACGTAAAGATCAGATCGCGGATAAAGAGTCGTTTCGCTGGAATATCTGATTCCGGAAACCAATCCTTCAGCTTCGAGGCAAAATACTGCCTTGTATAACTTTCGATTGGTTTCTAAAAGAAATGCATCAGTCAGTTAGTTAGTTGTTCAAAGTACTAATCAGCAAGTAGGAAATTCAATGAATAAATAAATAAATAAATTAATTAATTAAATAACTGGTGGATTTACAACATGTCAGGCAGGCATGACACAATGCCATTTTGAATTGTCTGTCTTCTTGCACATATTTCATCAGTTGGGTGAAGTGGGAATGCTAACTGGTTGGCTGGCTAGCTGGCTGCCTGTCTAGCTAGAACATGATAATAGTAGGCAGGCAAATTATCCCAATATTTGTACAATAGGTGTATCCATGTATATGAATTGAATGACAATGAAAAATGACAACTATTACCACTACAGACTATCACTGATGCGCGCGTATTCATCATTCATCCATCCATCCATCCATCCACGACGGAATCAATGCGGTTCACGTCATTCATTCATTCCCTTCATATTTTCAACTATTGGTGTAGTAGGGATTTTCAGGCAGTTCTAGTGAGAAGCCATGACCAGCAGGATACAATACAGCAGGTTCAAGGTGAGGCAGTAACTAACTCACCGGAGAAGACATGGCGAAGTGATCGCACTATGTCATCAATTGGCAGAAGTGAGAATTCCTGAGCTAGCCATTGGATCGGATACCAGTGGCTGATGAATGAATGGTCTACGATCTAGATCGCCTTGTAACCAGAAGCACCTGGGTTCGAGCATTGGCAATGGGGTGGGTGCGTGCGTACCGATGAAGAGTCCAAAACTAGGCTGATGAAACAGCTGTCTGGCAGTAATCCCTCCTGTTCGCTTTCCAATGCTCCTCTAACTGATTTCAGCTCCAAACTATCCGTTCGTATCTTAAAATACAAAAATAATCTCCACTTCTTCTAATGCTGCTTTTTAAATCGGAATAAATCGGAATAATTTTATTCAACAGTCTGAATACTAACTATACTATGTAACAAACAAGTATTCTGCACAAAAAGTGATAAAACCATTTATTATATAAGGCAAGGAAGGCACTTGACACTTTCATAAATAACAATTAAACAAAAACCCATTTCAACAACAATAATATCATGATGATAACAGTCAATGACAATAACTGCAATGCACAGAAGCTAATAGCGGCGAAATAATAGTAAGGTAGAATTAGAAAAGAGAAGCAACAATTTACCTGGAAAAACTTTTCCACATAGTGAAGCATAAAAACTCCACAATCCACACCGTTATTTTGAGTAGGCAAAAATGGAGTATGCATAGGGAGAGTATCGCTATTGAAACGGAGGACACCGTCTACTTCTGATCTCCTCGTATCCCATTCCACTTGTAGATAGCTGGAATCAATAAAGGGTGAATAGTTGCATGCATTAGAGGAGCATTGATCAATCAATCAACTGATTCATGATGAAATCTCATCTACCATTCTTCAACGAACATCTCGAGTACATGCCGCCATATCACACTGACTGCAGGTGAAGGAATGCGTACTGCAAACAATTCGTTCCCTACTTACTACTTCTATATCCATCTGATAAGAGATAACAACCTCTGAAAATGGAAGACTCGAACAGTATAACTCTGCTTGACCATAGGTGTTTGGCGCTAACCACTCGTGTCAGTTGGTATAATATCTTCACTAACACCAAGGTTAGCACCCGCGTGGTCAAGGAAGAAATATCAGCAGATAAGGTGAGGTGATTGTGATTCTGCAAACATTTACATAACTAGATGTACTCAGCTCGCCGACTCATCCATCACCTTCCCCTTCATCGACAAGCAATCTTATCTCACATCACATGAAATAGATTACGATGCAAAAGAGTTGAGTCTGTGCAGAAATCATAACATCTTATCAATAAATTAAACCTTCGACTGTTTGTCTGTTCAACACATGTCGTACTCAATGTCACAGGTCACTTCACACTATTTTCTATCGATACCCACATCCATCAGACCCCATTATTCCTCAAGTAATTATTATTATTTCACCAACGCATTTTGTTCATCGTACTGTAGCTCCTTCGAACTTCATCTCTCCACATTTGTGACTTTATAGAGCAGTAAATGTAGCCAGAATAGCTCAGTGGTAGCGTCACTCATTGCGCCGCTCGGTCACCCGGGCTGGCTATAACCACACAGCGGACATGACTTCCTTCAAGACTTAATATGTAAACTTTGACGACTGAATGATAACTATGAAAAATCACTAAACCTCCTCCCAAAAGCCCTCAACTATCTACCAATAACTAACTAACCAACTAACTTCTTTTACCTACCGTGCTTCCCCATTCCATGGCTTGTCTTCTTTTGTCCACTACCTCTCTTTAAAGTCTTTACAAACAATTCGAGGTGCTGCGTATTTAAGAAGACGTTGTTTCCTGTCAGGTTCATCGGCCCCATCCGTACCACTTACCTTGCATCAGTTTACTTTCCTCTGAGGCTGAGCTGAATTAACCCACATTGAATTTTACTAAACTTTTCACCGGACATAAATTATTAGCTATCTTCACCACTACCAGTCATACAATAGATTCCATGTACTGTCAAGATAATTCCACCTCCACTCATACCTATACAAGTGCACAGATTAATCACGGTTGAAAATCTCTACTCACTTCCTCCAATGGAAACGATATCTTAATGAAAGTTGTTCATCCCATTCATTTGTAGGTTTCATGTTGTTGACGGTGTGGCTCAGTCAGACAATCTTTCTTCTTCCTTCGTTTGAAACTATTTCTACACAGAGCCAAATAGTCAGTCAACAGAACGAGAAAAGGGACAAGATCACACCACCGTCGATTCATTTGCCTGCAACTATACACACACACACACACTCCCAATACGATTTCCCCATTGGCTCACATTCCCTACACTGCCCACCATTACAGAACAACAATTTTCATCGACACACACCATTCAACGTCTACAGCCCCATTTGTAACCTCGACATACAACAGTTCTTGAAAAGATAAAAAAAGATGAAGGCTAGGCATAGAATAGTAGTTATCATCAGTGAAGTGCTGCTGTACAGCTAAGCCATTAGAAATGTGATTGATCTCAGCCAGTTGCATGCAACATACAATCACATCATCATATTGAACTAATTGTTGATCATCGTCAGACACCATAATTAATTAATTAATTAAGTCACAAACAAATATGCATGAATAACAAAAAAGAAATATCTTACTTGTAAAGAACACGCGCAATAGGAACTCTAGATACAGTAGGAAACGAGTCAAATATTAGAAGACAAGGCCTGTGTGAAACGAAGTAAGTAGATAAATAGATGAATAAATAAATAAAATGAAGACAAGAAACTCCATGCATGCATGACAATTAATTGTCTCTATCACATAATTAGTTAACTCAGAAGGACACATCATCAAATGATTGATAAGAAACAATAGCGCTTAACAACCTTCTCAAGTAGAGTGTAACCACCCACATCTTACAGGTTAGCTGGCATACGTTCCTTACCTTGATAAATGCCCATATCACAACAGCCACCTACATATAACAGGCACTGGAAACCGGTCACATTATTGAACAACCACCACCACCACAAACGCAACTCAATCAACACTTTGATTCGACTCTAGTTAGTAGACTGTATTATTAGTCTAGCTCTTTGTGATGGTGCACACTGAATTCTAGGTGGCCCGACGTCACAATGCACTTGAACTATTGATATATTAGACTATTGATGGCAATCGCCAACAAGCCTTCCACCCAGATTTCGTGCTAGTAGCCACTCACTCGTCCATCAGGCTGAATAGCTCAGTAGTAACATATCTGACTGCAGCAAACTCCCAACCCATAACTGCTACTTTGACGTGCTGGTCCGACCTGCATATCGCAATGACACAACAAGTTACATTGGCTGGAAGTAATGTTCCTGCAGCTTCTACCAGGCCAGGAAGAATGTTAGCATAGTGATTAGACGCAAAGCAGTTTGCCTCATAGTGTAAGATTTTCTACACTTTGTTGGCGGCCTGTAGGCAAAGTCTTGTAGCTGGCGGATAGCAATGTTACAGCAGTATGGTGATTCCCTCAGATGACCAGCAGACCAGCTAGCGAGAGTGACAGAGAGAAAGGGTTAGAAAAGCCCACCACAAAAATTCTACAACCCAATTTACCCTACAGTGGTCCGGAGTCGGCGACATGTGACAAATACTCAGTCAAAACAAAACACCGGTTCACACAGGCCGTGAGTGACCAGCTACAAAAAGTTGTCCCCCTGGGCTCTTTGCTCAAGTAACACCCATTCCTTCTCTTTCAGGTACCCGGAAAAAGAGAAATTCCATGGTTTGTGTAGCCGGGTAGCAGGCTCGATTGGCAAACGCCAACCTACACCATCTCTGGCGTAAACATGATATCCGGCTGGCTGTCGACCAAAGCGCGTGGGTATAGTACAGCGTCACCAACAGCACTTCCCTACGTCCTCCATTATGAATGGCCATCAGACATTGCCATTGAGAGTGGAAGCCATGAGAAGGAAAGCCAGCTAGCTAGCTATCTTTGATCATATGTGTCTGTGTTCTATCTACATCCTGTGTTAGGTGGGAGGTGTAATAAGGTGACTAACACTGAGGTGAAGCATCGGTCGAGTGCTCCGTGAGGAGGGAATACCAATCAACAAGGTTGTGAAGGTAATTCGATTGAGGTGGTCAGGACATGTTGTTACGCATGGCTGTTAAGTCACCTCCCTCCTCGACTGACGGGAAATGTTAGCCACTGACATAGGATGGATCTGGTTAGAAAGGAGCCAGAGCTAGGTCTAGGTGGAGCAACAAGCACAATGTCAAGGCAGGGCTTCCTGACGATTGCCTCCAACCATCTATTACCAACAATTACTTCACTCAACACGCAAATCACCTCAGATAGACAGAATTCTCTTGAATGAATAAATAAATAAATAAATAAATAAATAAATAAATAAATAAATAAATGCATTATCACACATGCACACACACACACATTCAATTATTTTCATGTTTTAAAGTAAAAGAAAATCAGAATTTGTCATGACTGTGTTCAACAATAGAACAGATTGATTTGTCACTTCTCTACAAAATGAACAGGTACAGACAACATAAGAAGACAAATCACGTACTTCGGATTGTAACCATTCTTCCGGAGCCAGGCTAAACGTCTTCGTCTCCAACGATTAAATGCTTCACGCTGTAAAACAATAAATACAAACAAACCATACACTATACACCACCTAACCAGCCAGCCAGCACACTCATGTTAATCAGTTTACCGAAATAATCAATACTAAATCATTGAAATAGTCATAATTCACATGCATCTCGGAAAATATACATCACTATTATTATTATTATTATTCAAGTGTTGGTCTACAGGAATAATCTGATTTCACTGACTACAGAATTTCATTATGAGCTGAAATAGGCTAGAGAACCATTGGGAAACCGCCTGGGAGAAGTGCCAGACAGTTTGGCACTCATCGCCCACTAGGCTTCGAACTCAGGACATTCCGCCTACAAAGCCAGCAAGCTAGTTCACTATTAAGCAACTGACCAGTCCATGAATTCCAACTTTTGCCAATTCACCAACGATATAGCGCTGTTGGCACTATCGAATGCCATCGGTGGCGAGTATTAGTCCTCACACCCCCAACCTACTTTACTAACTCATTGGTCAACACTTACAATTACAACCCACCCACGTAACTGCCAACCTTGAACAGGGCGAGTTGCCAATGAGCTCACCTCGTAACCGAAAGCTCCTGGGTTCGAACACTGAAGAGTCCCCAACTAGGACAAAACAGCTGTCCAGTACTCCCAGCTACTTTTCCAATGCTTCTCTAACCGATGTCAGGTCAAGATGAAGTCCTATAACCAATCAGATCCTAGCAAACAAACACCTAAATGTTAGCCAATAGGTTGGTTGCTTTGTAAAAGCCCTGCTCGAAACATTCATGTAGGCGCACTAACTAAAATGCGTGCAGATACACACCCCTGTCCATTACCATCATCATATACATCACTTTCAATTGGCAAAATTTACTCACGATCAGTGCAGGAGAACTGTCACTGATACAGCAGTACAACTCATCGTTGCAGACCACGGTGTACCCAAGGTCGATACTCACTGACTGACAAATCAAGGTCTTTGTTTTGCGAGCGAACAATTCACTTCCTGTTTGCAACAGCCAGGTGTCAAGAAGATCAGAACAATATCATATCATATCATATCAGCAAACGAATGGTCTGACAGAGAGAAATAACCGTACACTAAAGGAGTCGCTGGCCTCGAAGGGGGTTAACTGTCAGATAGAGCTTCCATCGATTCATTCTACTAGCACATCGTGCGACTTACTACCTAAGAAACAACAAAGGAGTCACCATTTCAATTGATGTATGCGAGGCGTACATAATTTTCCTATAAAGAGAAAATCAAATTGCAAACAAACATTCCGTTACCTAAGTCTGTTGTCTCCTACCGTTACAAAACAACATCAGCACTTCATATACTACTTATATTATTCATAATAGTAATAACAATATTAATAATAATGAAAATTTTACTACAATATTTACTTGAACATCTATAGGGATTCTGTGAACAGATTCTTCATAAAGAGTGGATAAATCTAAACTTTGAGGAAATTTAATATTTTCGACGTCAGAAAATTCTTCCATCAATGGGCACTGGCCAACAACTTCATCCGCATGCACATCCTTGGGCATTCCCACCATCCAAGGATAGCAAACAATACCAACAATCCAGTGAATTCTATAAAAGTTCCAATAGACGTAACCAGGGAAAGTCACGTACACACACACAAACAAGGAGAGAGAGAGAGAGAATTATATGATACACACACACACACACAGATTAATATGATACAATGTGAAAGACAAAAAAGCATTAAATCAGGATCATGGAGGAAGGAATAAGTCGACTGTGCCACTAACTACCCACTAAGTGAAAATTATCAATAGAACCAGTACAATTCAACATTTCGACAGATGGTGCAGTAAAGCAGATTCACTCCTGCTGTCACCACGGTGGTTCTACTTCTGACTTGTAGCTTCTGAACTGCTTCTTACAGGCGATAGCATAATCCCCAGCCTCTCCCTACACATTGATAGCCGCAAAATGTTGCCACGTGCATCTAGGAAACATTTCTTTGTGAAATTGGTCGACCACAACGTCACATATTCCAATTCCATCCAATACAATCACATATATTGGTGGAGTATAATAATCAATAAAGCTTAAGCACTACCACAACGAGACACACAATCCACACCGCTACAATCATAGTGAAACTGCAGTCAGACTACCAGCCATCTTCATAGCAGTCGATAACACATCCAAGTGTAACCCTAATTATACTCAACAAATAACCACTCAGTGGAACGTGAAGACTACCATATACATATCACGCTTATTCATCATTTCGGTCTTCAATCAACCCCGCTCTCATCTAATCAATATCTCATATCTCAATTCCTGATTGT